AACGTCACTTTTTTTTTTTTTTTTCGTTGTCCCGCCCCCTTTGTTCGCTCCCACTGGTCAATAGCTGATCGACACCTGTCACAAGCGTTGCCGTGATTGGTCCGCTGCGCTGTCGTTCATGATTTGACCCGCTGTTGATGACGTCTGCGGCCCCAAGCCTCAACAGGTAATATCAAGCTTCAGGAATTTAAACAGCTCATAATTTCTAGTGGTATGTTAATGACATTTTTTACATTTTAGATTTGTATGGTGTTCCTATGATACCACCAAAGGAATATGCTTTAGTTTTTTTTTTTATGCACTTCCTTCTGGTGTTGTAATGCTTCTTAGAAACTTAGTTATATCTGAACTGACTGTAGTACCAATGGATCCTGGTCCAATGTGTTTCTCCTCTAAAAAGAATAATAACTATATAGATATACGTGCTTTCCTTTAAAAAAGAAGTGGTTTCTGTTTCAAATGTCGTCTCCTACTGGAATAATCTTTCCAGACCTGGACCGGAGAACAATATGGTGTCTAAATAAATATATTATTTTAAATAAGGACAGGGAAGTTTCTTAAAATAATTAATTGCTTTTATCCCTTCAAATTATTTTTGTGAAGACATAAAAAGGACATTGATGTAACGTGCTCATTTTGTCAACTGGCTCCAGAAGACTTATCTCATTTATTTTCTTCTTGTCCCCATTATTGTTCTTTTTGGAAAGATATTTGTGCTTTTGTGTCCCAGTATATAGTTTCTGATTTCATCCTTTTATATGAAAATGCATTGTTTGTTTGTTTGTTTGTTTGTCTCACCCCTCTGCCAAAAGAAATCAGTATTATATCATCAATTTGATCCTTCTGAAATTCCACATGCACAAATCGCCTGCATTGTGTAGCTAACAATATAATACAATTAATAGATTAATAATATTATTTTTCAAATACTTTATTGAGAGACTTTACTGAGATAATTGAATTCACAACAAAGATACAGAGAAAACAGGATCCATTGCTAAAGCTATCCATTGAATTCCGCCCAAGTTTTCAGAGGAATACTAAAAGTGGCTAAAAGTTTGGTTTTTTGGTTTGAGAATTTGCTGGTCAATCCAAAACATTTGACTGTAGATGCAGTAACCAAAACAGAAACACAAACATCGAAGTTTCATCACATCTTTTAAGAAAGTCCAGCTTACTTACTTAACTACAAAACTATTTTAAATTCAACATCTATTACTTTAAACAAAGGGGTAAGAAGACCTAAGATACTGATCCTGAAATGTGGGATATAAATGCATGAGATTTAAATAAATGCACCATATTTAGTATCTATATAATTTATTATAGAGCAAAAGGCGAATAATAATACATAGTATAAACAGTAATTATGTACAACTGAACCATTTTTTTGGTATTTCCCACAATTTAATACTTGCCAGAATTAGAAAGTCCCTGAAACATCTTTCAGCCTTTATTGAGTCAGTGATTCAGCACATCATTAAATGAGATTTCACTGCAGGTTTTACAGACAGTTTCCCTGTTGTTGTGGTCAGGGATGAACTTCCTCATCATATCAGACATGGAGCTGTCGGTAACAAAGAACGGCTGATATCCGGTGTTTGATAAAAGGCAGTTATTAGTTAAGCTCTTGTTTTTTTATTAGGCAGTCTACTAATTTTCCATAAAACTGACAGCTGCTTGGGTTTTACTGTTATTAAATTTGCAGCAGGAAGGAAAAACATTTTTATCATATCTCCCCAGCCCTTTAAAAAGGCCTGCGCGCTCATTCACTACATGCCTCATCATTCTTGCTGGCTTTAGCCAACATTAATTGGGCCAGTAAATGATTGCAGCACAGTCAGTGAGAATAGAGATATGCTTGAAAAGGTTGCCCACACCTGACCTGCTCTGTCAGACGGAGATGCTGCTGTACGTCTAAAATTCATTGCTGTTTTTTTCTCAGGTCTTTTTCTACTCCTTTTGTGCCTTCATTTCTTTTAATGTAGAAGTCTCCAGAATTTTCAGTCCTTTTTATGAACAAGGTTATGAACCGCTGATGCAGCTTTTGATGTGAAACAGTTTGTGAAGAGCATGGTTCGGACATAGATCTTGGCCAAATCTGGTTTAATACTTGACTTTAACTCATAAAATAATGGAGGGCTTCTCAGAAAGTTGAGCTTACCACAGAAATTGTCAGTTTAGGAGCGTGTGTGTGTTATTGTGATTGAAAACTAGCATTTGGCTTGAACTGAATCATTGCTGAGGTGGTAAACCTTACTAAGCTGGTATTTATAATTACTTGAAAAGTGTATAGGCCTTCATTATTGCAGATAGTTTGACTATCCCTACTTTGAGGGAAGAGCACAGGTGTTACTGAAAACACTAAAAATGGCTTTGCTCTCTTCAGGGTTTCCAGTGAGCCAGTATTCACAATACCAGAACCTTGAAACTTGCAACTGATTTCAGCTATTAATCATTAGGCTATATTATTTACACCTGTGATTTTCTACTTTGACATGTCAAAATGTTGTCTGTGAAAAGGGCCTGTCTTTTGTTATTAGACATAAATAACACGCAGTAGGCCAACCATCTCAATAAATCGTTTATTTTTCAACAGAAATGAAATCGGACTCATCCTACCTAGATCATCAGCTGGAGAACACACACAGCAACGATAGCAAGACTCACAGTCCGTACATACAGTAATCGCCAGTGTCATTTACGTTTAAAACATTACACATGCCATGGTGCGTCTACGTTACTCCAATTCTCTGCATGGCTTATAAATATATCATCTTACAAGTAACATGGTGTAGTGTTTTATTTTTGACCTATGCTCAATAGTCAGCAGGGACTGTTAAAATATTGATGTTGTTCTCCAGCTTCATTCGTTCACATATGAATCATCTTTTGAATACATCATGCCACCATGTAGCTTGTAAAACCTGTAAATCAGTCATTTCAAAGTGCCACTTAAGCCAGGAGGACCATTAATATTGGCACCCATGGCTGCCTCTTGTCGAGCCTTAGCACAGGGTTGTGGGTGAAGGAGGAGTTCACCTGTCGCCCACCCTGAGGCCCCTGGGCTTCTTAAGGACCTTGTGATCAGATGTTCCTGCAGCAAGGCTTCTGCTCCTCTGTGTTTTCTGCTCTGGAGTTTAAGGACACAGCACTGATGGAGCCACGGACCACTTCCTTACTGCTCACCTTTCTTTGAATCTCTGTGGTAGAAAATGTATATAAATTATACATTTACAGCATGCTAGAATAGAGAGGACATTGAGAGGACAAAAGTAATATGTAAAAAGTATTATAGCACCAAAACATATGCCTGTAGTTCGTGAGTGTAATGATGCAAAAAAGTTGACAAGAACCTTTCACAAAAAAAATAATAGGTGAAATTGTTCATTTCCAACCAAAAACTAACCAGAGACGTTTCTTTCTAAAGTCGTCAATCAAATCAAAGGTCAAATTTTCCTGGCCTTTTCTA